TTTATTGCATACTTGCCTTTACCAGTGATTTTATTTATTTATTTTTTATAATTTTCTTATTCCTATTTGTGGTCTTCTCTTTTCCATTTAAATAAGCCCATTTAGCATTTCTTGTAAGGCTGGTTTCTTGGTGATAAACTCCTTTAGTTTTTGCTTGTCTGGTAAACTCTGTATCTCTCCTTCCATTCTGAATGATAACCTTTCCAGGTAGAGTATTCTTGGCTGTAGGTTTTTTCCTTTCAGCACTTTAAGTATATTGTCCCACTCCCTTCTAGCCTGTAAGATTTCTGCTGAGAAGTCAGCTGATAGTATTATGGGTTTTCCTTTGTATGTCACTTGTTGCCTTTCTCTTGCAGCTTTTAATGTTCTCTCTTTATCTTTAATTCTTGGCATTTTTAATACAATGTGTCTTGGTGTGGGCCTCTTTGGGTTTACCATGTTTGGTGCTCTCTGTGCCTCCTATACCTGGATGTCTGTTTTCTTCCTTAGGTTAATAAAGTTTTCAACTATTATTTCTTCAACTAGATTCTCTGCCCCTTTGTCCCTCTCTTCTCCTTCTGGGACACCTATACTGTGGATGTTAGTGTGTTTGATGTTGTCCTAGAGGTCCCTTAGACTGTCCTTGTTCTTTTTAACTCTTTTTTCTTTTATCTGTTCAGCTTGGGTGATTTCCTCTAGTCTTTCATGCAGCTCACTGATCCATTCTTCTGTATCAGCTACTCTGCTATTGAGCCCCTCTAGTGAATTTTTCATTTCCAGTATTGTATTCTTCATTTCTGATTGGTTCTTTTTTATATTTTCCAATTCTTTGTTGAAGTTGTCACTGAGTTCATCCATTCTTCTCCCAAAGTCAGAGCATCCTTATAACTATTAGTTTGAACTTTTTGTCAGGTAGATTGTTTATCTCTGTTTCATTCTTTTTCCGGGGGTTTGTCCTGTTTCCTTACTTGGAATGTATTCCTTTGCCTCCTCATTTTGCCTCTTTCTCGCTATTAGGTGGGTCAGCTACATCTCCTGATCTTGGAGAGGTGGGCTTATGTATGAGATGCCTTATGCATCAGGAGTGTGCTTCCCTCTCATCACCAGTTTTGAATATTATATTTGAATATTATTATATTCCAGGAGTGTCCTCTGTGTGGGCTCCCTGCATCCTTCTGTTGTGGCAGGGTTGCTCTTGCTGCAGAAGCCTGGGGAGACTAGGCCGTCACCCTAACCTGCTGGTTGTAATGCTCAGCTGTGTGTGGCTGCTATGGACCCTTCAGTCACTTTCTCAGGCATGGAAGCCCCAGCACAGTTGGCTGCAAGGTCTAATAGCACATTCCTGTTGCAGTTTTTCTGTTAAGTGAGTAGGCCTCCAGCATGGCTGATTGCTAGGCTCAGGGGCTTACAATTGCTCTAGGCCTCTGGCCTGCAAGGCTCTTGTCAGCTCTCCTAGGATTGCAGCTGAGTAGGGTTGGTCCCAGGCATGGGAGCACCCAATTGTTTCAGGCTTTGGAGGGTGGGGCCAATCCCCAATGTGTATGTTTGAGAAGCACAGGTCTGCTGCAGCTGACAAGCCCTATCACCCACAGGGCCATGCACCCTGTCAACACAGTCCTTCCCTGTGTACACACCCTGACCCACTGAAGCAGACCCAGTCGCCCTGCTGCAGAGGCCCCGCAGACTCCGCCAATGCAGGCCCACCCCTCATGCTCACCCTGTCCCACAGAGACAGACCCACTTGCCCTGCTGCAGAAGTCCCACACACCTTGCCTATGCAGGACTGCAAGTTGCCCGAGGGCCTGCTGTTGGGTGGGGCCAGTACCTGAAGTGGGCTGCCTGCCCTGGCTGAGCTGGATTAAATTGGTGCTCTAGTGGGTGGGGCAGACCCTGGGCTAACAGAGCAGGTGAAGGACTCCAATGGCGTCTGCCAGCATCTGTGTTAGCACACCTGTACTAGGTCACAATAATGGCTGCTGCCAATGTCTCAGTCCCTGGGGAGGTAGTCCTGGCCTGAGGAGGTCTCACCTCTCAATAAGATGCGCCCAGAGACTATCAAGTGAGTCTCTTTTCACCAAAGAACTGTGTACCTTTCTTTATGGTGATTTTAGGTTGCTTTCTGAAATGGGTGAATTTGTGCCTGGGCCCTTTAAGAGCAAGATTTCCCCCCCTTATGTCCTATAGCTTTTCTGGGGGTTTTCCCTGTTATTGTTAATAGCCAGCAAAGCCAGATATTCTGACACTTGTCTCAGTTGTGCTGAGTCCAAAAGCTGCTTATTGTGGTAATTCTCCCCCGCTCAGATCCCAGGGAAGGCTTTGTACCTTAGGATTGCTCCCAGCCATGAAGCACCACAGCTAGAAGTTGGCGTTTTTCTCTCCAGAAAGTAATTTCTGCCTCTTCCACCTTGGTCAACACTGTCCCTTGTTGTGGGGGTTCTTTTTATCCAGTTTTCAATTCTCTCTCAGGGTTAATAGTTCTAAGAGTAGTTGTAAATTTGTTGTGTCCGTGGAAGGAGGTGAGTTCAGAGTCTGCCTATGCTGCCATCTTGACACTGGATCCATTTTCCTAAAATTTAAGCAGTGGTGAAGTAAGTAAAATAAAAGATAAAGCTTCCCCTTCCTTTCGTCTCCCTCTCTCCTTTTTCTATCGCAGGTAACCTCTGCTAATAATTTGGATTTACTCATCAAAACTCTCTGTACAGGGGCCGGCCCGGTGACACAGCGGTTAAGTGTGCGCATTCTGCTTTGGTGGCCCGGGGTTCACTGATTCGGATCCCGGGTGCAGACATGGCACTGCTTGGCACGCCATGCTGTGGTAGACGTCCCACATATAAAGTGGAGGAGGATGAGCATGGATGTGAGCTCAGGGCCAGTCTTCCCTGGAAAAAAGAGGATTGGCAGTAGTTAGCTCAGGGCTAATCTTCCTCAAAAAAACCCCAGGAAAACAAAAAAAAAATCTCTTCGTACAGTATTTGTCTTTCTATGGACAAAGCCCCACAGAGTTTGGAGGAGAAAAAAATTTCTTCTTAAGGAATATAAAGTCTGAATAGTGACAGCCTTACAATTTCTTCATCCAGTTTGACCAGAAAATGTAATTGCTTCTTCTGTCACACTCAAGAGATCACTTGTATCTCCCTGCAGGAAGCCATCTGTGTGAGTAGGTCCAAAGTTCAGAACTTGTGAACTCAGAGTATTGTGTAGGGAAATCCCTTAAGTCTTTGTTGGCCTCTCCTGACCATACAGAAATTGCCTTTTCCCAGTGCCATTCATTTGGTTAAGCTATGACTGCTCTTGTGGCTGTTTTTTCTTTCATCCTTTTTTCGTTTGACAGTGTCCTCTCAGTCACACGTCTTAGTAAATGCTTTTCTTTCCTAAGATCCCCAAGGCTGTGTCAAATAGAGCACCAGGAACATCTGAAATGCGAGGAGCATCCATCATGGTGTTGACACTGGCTGTAGATCAGTTTGCATTGGCGAGGTTTACAAAGCATGGCTGACACTCATCAGGGGCTGCCCGCACACTGTGGCACAGACTTCCTTACCAACAGGCACTATTTATTGATTCTTAGCACTGTCCCTGAGGCCTTTATGGAGGCATGTGTTTGACTCGTCTGGGCTCTGGTCTTGTTTAAACTCATTGCCTGTGTCCTGGTGGGGCCTTATTCTGTTCTTGCCTTAGATCCTTCCAACCTGCTGTGTCCTTCCGGGAATGCTCTTGTCCTGCTCTCCCTTTCCCCAACCCTCATGCCTTTTTTGCTGGGCCCAGCTTAATGTAATTTCCTCAAGTCTCCTAGATCAGGTTAACTGCCTTTTCTGTCCCCCTCCGTCCCCCCATGATATTTTGGACTTGACCCGACACTCTTCATGCTTAGAATTTCTTGGTTAATGTCTCTCTTCTTTGCTAGATGGCAACTTTCATAATAGGATCTGTTTCTGTCTCTATCATTGCTGTATCCCCAGCATCTTGCCCAGAATTTGGCACAGAGGCAAACTTGCTTAATCAGAATCACCTGGAGAAGCCTTTTTGAAATACAAATTCTTGGCTCCTCCACCCTCGAGGTTCTGGTAGCAAGTCTGGGGTAGGATCCAGAAAGGTGTGTTTTTAACAATAGGCCTTTGTGATCCTGGTGCTCAGACTGACTTGGAAGACTGCTGAGAGGGTACCCTTAAGGAGGAGCAGAGGCAGCAGAAGGAACATTGGCCTGGATGTCTGAAGACCTGGCGCTAACAACTTTTGTGTGCCCTGGGCCATGGAACATCAACTTTCTCAGCCTTCATCTGTAAACCCAGAGATGTGGATTGAATAACCTTTGAAATTCTGTCCAGCTCTGACAATCCCCATTTCTAAAACCTCTGATAGACCCTCCACAAACATATGTGAATATGTCTTCTATCTCCACCCTGCTTTCCTTCCGGCCTAAGCAATGGATATGTGAATGTGAGATGTGACTTGTAGAAAAGCAGGCAGATACAAGGCATCTAGCATCTTACATTATTCACTAAGTAGTGGTAGACTCATTGGCCCGGGAGGAAGGAATATGACAATGCCTTACACTGGTCTGTTGCAGACCACCTTTAAGTTGACTCCCATACGCCCTGCTTCTTGGTGTTTATGCCCTTGCATAATCTCCTCTTCTTGAGTGTGGGTAGGCTCTGTGACTTAGTTCTAACCAATAGAGTATGCAAAGGTGATGGGATGTCCTGTGATTGTTACACTGAAATACAGTCATGTACTCCATAATGATGTTTCAGTCAAGGATGGAGCACGTATACAACGGTGGTCTCATAAAATTAGTATTGTATAGCCTAGGTATGTGGTAGGCTATACCATATATGTTTATGTAAGTGTACTCTATGATGTTTGCACAAAAGTGAAATCACCTAATGATGCATTTTGTAGAATGTATCTGTGTTATTAAGCGACACGACTGCTTAAAGGGCTTTTAAAACACTTGTGGTAAGATCATATCTTGCTATAAGACTCACTGTGGGGTCTTTCTCTTCCTGTTGCTATCTTTGAAGAAGTAAGTTACAGCAAATCCTACAGCTTCAAGGAATTCTATGAACAAGCTGAGGGAAGTTGGAAGTGGACCCTTCCCCACTCAAGCCTCTGCTGAGAACCCAGCCTTGTCTGATACCTTGATTATAGCCTTGCAAGACTCGAAGCAGAGAACCCATCTACTAACTCGTGTCTGGATTTCTGCTCCATGGAAACTGAGATAATAGGTGTGTGTTGTTTTAAGCACTAAGTTTATAGTAATTTGTTATGCAGCATAGTAAATTAACACAGTCAGCAAGTGAGGCAACAGTCCTGCCCAACAAACACCCAGAATTCAATGAAAATTTATAATGATAAGCGTTTATTCTCATGCTCACAAGTCTGCAGGTGTACTGTGGCATGGCTAGTATAGGCTGGGCTCAACTGCTGGCTGTAGGTTATGTCGAGATCTGCTCCACATATGTTAGTCCGATGGCACAGGCTGAAGGACAGCAGGTCCTTCTCATCGTGACTCACTGGTGCTCCAGAACCAAGCCAAAATGTACAAATACCTCTAAGGCCTATACTTGTGTCACATCCACTAACATTTCATTGGCCAGAGCCAGTCACGAGGCTAAGTCCAATATCAATGGGAAATGAATATATTCTGATCAAAAATCAAAAGTATCAAAATTTGGCCTCTTAGTTTTGTTTAAAGTGCCTTTGTATATACCAGCTCCTTCTATTCTGCCTGAAATCTTATGAAGAAAGTGGAACAATTTATTTTTGCATTTTCAGATGAGGAACCAAGGGCTCAGGTGGGTTAAATGAAATTCTCACTGTTGGATGGCTGGTTTCTGGCAGAGTTGGGACTATAAGGAGAGTCTTTCCTCTCTTAGTCTAGTGCTCTTCCCACGGCACTGTGACTTCCCAGATGAGGTTGGTTTATGTTCATAGTGCATAACGACACTCTGCTTTAAATGCTTTAAAGGCCATCTACGTATGTTAAGCCATTCTGAACTGCATCCCTTCCCTGACTGCCCGGCTCCCTCATCCTGGACCTCAGTGCCGGCCATTCCTCCATCTGTACTGGCTTTCCCTGACTCCTCCCAACCCACAGTGCCGTAGACCGAACACCCTACTTAGTGTTCAACCTTCCGATCTCAGCCTAACTTTCTTTCATTCCTCCGAGAAGCCTTCCTTGAGTTGTGCTCTTTCCCTCTTCTCCCATCATGGCCTGCACTTCTCTCCATGCAAGCAGTCAACCCACTGTGTTACAGTTACCTGTCTCCCCCGCGGCCGTGAGCTCCCTGAAGGCGGGAGCCAAGCTCTGCCTCCCTTGCACCACCATACGTCACAGCATCTAGCACATAGTAGACATTGTTTACTGATGGACCGATTAATGCTTTCTGCTCATGGCTTCAGAAGCCACAAATTCTACTACTTATCTGTTAGTGACACCCTGCTCTAATGTTTTTATTTCATTCTTTTATTTACTTTGCATAAGCTATAATTTGGCTTTGTCCCCCCAATTATTAAATAAAACCTGGATAATTCTTAAGAGCTAATGGGGCCAACTAGCAATTCTTGTGAAATCTGTTTGACAAGAAATAATAGAGTGTTTAGTGCTGAGTGTGATATGACAGTTCAGCTAACCAAATTCCATTTTTTTTTTTGTAAAAACCAGGGCTTTAGGTCAGATCATGAAAGTCCTGAAAGGTCATATTAAGAAATTTACTCTCTAATCTGAGGGCAGTGGGGAGTCACTATGGTTTTAAGAGGAGATTGACATGCTCACGTGAGTGTTCTAGATAGATCCAAATGGACGAGCCAGGGTGGGTGAGGGATACCTATGAGAAGCTGTTGTCCTGCCGGGAAATCCTGTTGGCCTAGATCTGGGTAATGGCGGTGGGAAGAGAGAGGAGACGATAGATTCTAGAGACAATGAAACCCACTCCGTCTTGGTGACAGTTGGACAGGATGTAAAGCCTTTGCTAGCCTGACGCATTTTGGGTTCTATGCAAAAATAAGTCAAGAAGCCCAGTCTAGAAATCAGTGACCTACAGAGAACAACTTCTTAGTGTAATTCAAACAGAGGGGCCTTTGCAGTCAGACAAGTTACTTCACCTCCCTGAGTTTCAGAACGCACAGTGAGGAAACTCAAACTTCTCTCAAAATTGGATGCGATAGATGTGTAAATGTGAGCAGTGGGTGGTAACCGCCATTAAATATTCAGAAATATGCCACCGCCCCCTTGTTTGTATCTATTGAAGATCTACTTATCTTCATGGGTCAGCTGAAATCGCTGCGTCTTCCCTGACCACTCCGACCTGAAGTGGTTTCTCCCTCAAGGCCTTGGGGCGCTATTATCCGTACCTGGCACATGGGGCCTTGTTTGCTTTGTTTTGTTTTGTCTTCACGAGCAGCCAGAGTTTATCATACTCACACCCAGTATCATTGCTCTAAGTGAGACCACACCCTTGCTTTATTCCTTTCTATTCCTCTGCCTCCCCGTGCCCTGTCCCCACGCCTCCAGCAGCCATTCCGATGTGTTTAGTGTATATCCTTTTGTTAATATGCATTCTTACAAAATGTCTATTGTTGCTCCGTGGACATACATTTTTAATTTGCATAAGTGTTATATGTTGTCTTCTTCTGTTTCTTTCCTTTTTCTCAGGACTGAACGTAAAGCTGCATTCCTGTTGCCGTGGTGTACCTCTAAGCCGCCTACTCTTCCGTGCTGGGCACCCCTCACATTTTACTATGCATTTTTCTGATCACAGACATCGGGGTGGCTCCAACTCCCCTTTCCACAAATGGTGCTGCAGTGACCATCCTAAAGCGTGTCTCCTTATGACAACGATTCTTAACTGGGGAGGATGTTGCACCTCCAGCGACATTTGGCAATGTCTGGGGACATGCTTGCTTGTCACAGCTGGGGGAAGGTGCTGTGGGCATCTAGTGGGTAGAGGCCCGGGATGCTGCTAAACGTCCTGCAATGCAGAGGATGGCCCCACAACAAAGAATTATTCGGTCCCAAATGTCACTAGTGCTGAGCGAAGTTGAGAAACTCTGCCTTATGGACACGCGGGAGGATTTCTTGGGACAGATTCCCAGGATCAGGCTTGCTGGCCACAGTGTGTGTGTACTTGATTGGAGCAAGTCGTAGCAGACTGTTGCCCAGTGTGGCTGCACCCATGTGTGTTCCCGCTGCAGCCCACGAGCCTTCACACCCACGTCCCTGCCCGTGCCAGGATTACCCAGCCTTTGAAGTTTTGCTGTCTAATGTGTGTAAATTCAGATTCATTGTTGTTTTACTTTACATTCCTCTGATTATTAAAGAGCTAGCCAACTTTTCATTATGGTGTAGTAACTTCTTGGGAGGCCAAAAATAACACGGTTGAAAAGCTTGGAGCCTGCCGTTTTATCTTTTATAAAATTTTCACCAATTACTTGGTTTCTCTGAGCATCAGTTTTCTTATCTGTAAAATCTGGAATAAAAATAGTAACCTCCTCATAGAGTTATTGTTATCTCATTATTATCTCATCATCATCATAAATGAGATAATAAAAATATAAAGCTTTACCTGGCACCTAGCAGGCAGTAAACAAAAGTGCTATGATTATAAGGATAATAGAATATGATACCTTTCTTACTAAATTATATGCCTCCCAGTACTTGGCACATCAAAATGCTTAATCCCGTGTCCTTAGTGAAGAGCCAAAGGCTGAGGGAGAAGGGAGGACGGAGGAGGAACAGGCGCTCTTATAAGCTGGTCTGCCTTCGAGCTGTAAATCTCAGGACAGCCAAATTCAAGGCTGCAAGACGCAACTCCATTCCTCTCATTTTCTGATGATAAACAGTCACAAAGACGAAAGAGTTTGCATCTTAAGGGCACTTTCTACTTACTAAACGCCTCCCCAGTTCTATGCATTTCACATACAAACCTGTCCTGCAGTCCTCGTCACTGCTCTATAGGGTAGATCTTTCTATCCCCACTCCACTGGGAGCTTATGCAACCTGCCCCAGCCACCTTGCTTCCTAAGTAGTGAAGGATTTGAACTTGAGACTTTGGACTCTACTTGGCGATGTTCCCTTGGGCCCTGAACTCAGAGAATATGCCCTCGTGATGTGTGTGGGATTACACCACGGAGAACGTGGCTGGGGCGTCCAGTAGCTCCAGTTCTTTCATTTATCGCACATGCGTCAGATGTGGCTGACTGTGTGCGGGGGGGAGGACCTCCAGGGAAACTTGGACCGGGAAGCAAAGGTGTGAGCATCTGTGAGTGTTGTGATATGGACACCTCGTGTGGCTCCAGGCAAACAAAACACAAAACAACAACGTGGTGTGTATTGGAGGCAGTGTTCTAATTCTGCCGAGGTGTGTCCAGCTATGTAACTGTCTCTGAGCTTGGTCTTGAGTCATCTCAGGTTCATTGCAAATGCTATGAGCAGTTTAGAAACAGTCATGAATACTGTCCGTGCTTTGTATCCGTGATATTTGAGCTCCCTTCACAACTGGATTTACCAAACACCTTCATAATTCTGTGGTCTGATGGGAATACTGTTTGCTTATCTCCATAAAAATTGACTTCAAGAAACATTAATATTGGGCTATAAAAGGACTAAATCTTTTCCTTAACAAGCTTATTTCCTGCAACAAATATAATGAGCTAATTAATAAACATGACCCCATTCAGCCGCTCTTGCTGAAGTGGGCAGCCTGAATTCTACCCTGAGGGTTATAGGTACACAGTGAGGCTCCATTGTAAGCGCTCAGTGGACTCACCTTTCTTTGTGCCTGGCTCCTTGTAGAGCGTGGCTCCTTGTGGCTCCTTGTAGCCGCTCCTCTTATTTAAAGGCCAGAAGCTCAAATCCGACACCTGGGAAGCTTGGTGATGACACCGAAAGGAAAAAGGGTACTTAATTGCTGTCTTGCACCTGTCAGTTCCATAAGGAAGACAGGGCCCTGGATAACAACGTCAGCACCCTGAGAATGGTGTCTTTGTGCTTCTCTTTGATAGTTATAAAATGCACTGACACGTTTCACTGCAATCACTTCTTAAACCATTGACCATAACCTAATAAACAGACATTTTGACGGAATAAAATGCGAGAGTTTACTTTTGTATAATGAAAAACATTTATGAGTTGATATAAAAATACACTTTAGGCTATGTGGCTTCATCTGTCTCAGCACCCAGCGTTTAGGAGGCAGGCTCCTCCTTAGAATGGATTCGGCATTTCCGACTCTTTTGTGACATGACCCAGGATGAACTATAAATTTGGTTTTAGCACAGGACTTTTTTGAAAGACCCAAGTAGTGGTATGGCTCAAGATATAGGGTATGAGGTGACAGTGGAAATTCCCCTCCTCAGAGCTGCCAAGGACAGAGGGGCTTAGAAGTTGGAGCTTCGGGTGAACATTTTAGGGCCTCTCAGTCTCTTAGCGCGTGGACTTTGTTTTGGAACGATCGGTCCTCCTGGGCTCCCAAAGCCAGAGCCAGCAGCTCTGACACTTTGACAGCCGTTCTGCAGAGGGCAGGGCCACCCCAGGGTGTGCGGAACCCCAGGAAAATATATTTTTCAGGGCCCCTGAGTAGATCAATGAGTCTATTTAAAAGATCTTACAAAGTTCATGGGCCCGTGGAGGTAAGTGATTTATCGGTGAAGATTTGGAATGATGGGGAGAGAGGCGGTACAGACTTAGGTATTGGTTGGTTGCCAGACCTTGTGTGGTGTTCAGGCGCCATCTCTTCCTTTTCACATCCAAAAACCATCTCCTCGTGTTCTTGACTGTTACATGTGCTCTTCCTGCCTGGTTGCGTATCCCCCACGAGGAGGTAAAGGCAGCCGTGCTGTTACTGCTCACACTGCCCTGGCTCGTCGCAGTCTGTCTGCGGTCACCATCAGAAGAGGATAAGACAGGGCCTGTGGGCAGAGTGAGAAGAGGTGCCCGTGCGAGCGAGGAATGTCCATTCCTCATCTGGCACGGCTTAGCACGAAGTCGCTGTGTCAACAGGGTCAAGGGAGGACACGGTCTGCTGGCCTTGCAGAGTCACTGTCTTGAAAGCCCTTTGAGATGGACGCTGCCACACTGCAAGGACGGCCTGGCAGGTGGTGCAGAGCCCATGGAGATGGGGCAGGGGGAGTGGGGTGGCTACCTTTCTGGTTGGCAGTGGCAGGTGCACAGGATAGAAGATCCCTGCCGTCACCCCCACCATCCTTGGGTGCTGTAAATGGGAGGTGGCACCCTGTCAGAGCACAGATGGGCAAGGACTGCAGCAGGGGCCCACAAATGCGGCTCAGGCCCAGAGGACTCCTGTGACCCATCATGGTGATGTGTCCAACATAAGCGAGAGCCACCCCCAATCAGGATGTCAGCATTTTTCACGGGCCAATCTTGTATTATCCTGTGAAAGAAACACTCCGCTAGCCAGCTCACTCTCTTGGAACTGGAGCTTCCCTAAGACATCCAGAATGCATCTGGGGAACTCTTGTGCAGGGGCTGGCGATAAATTGTCTGCGAGCGCCCTGGGAGGAGAAATGGGTACCGAGGCCCGTGCAGTCCCGGTTAAAGAGCAGAGGATGGCGCCACTGGCCCTAGCATGTCCCAGGCAGCAGAGGAGGTGTCCACTGACTGGTATCCATGTGGGACCTGCTCCAGATGTAGGTGCTCCCCCAGGACCACCTCCAAAAGCATGGGGGAGCCCCGAGGCCCAGGTCTAAGGGGGGGGGTAGAGGGAGCACAGGGCGCACAGGAACAGCCTCAAGGAGCCTGAGCACTGGGAACGCTGGAGGAGCCCGAGAAGCCAACGCAGCCCGGACGGGGTCTCTGGGCCAGAGCACTGACTCTTGCTCTAGAATCTAGAGGCCAACGTAATGGCGCTCAAACTTTTTTGAATATGAGTCACAGAATGCATATATTTTACCTCACTACCTAGTATACATGCATATATAATTGTAATAAAAGTTTCATGAAACTCTACTTATCTTTCTACTTTTGGTATACTCCGATCCATTCCATTCCATGTTATTCTATTCCGTTCTATTCTATTCTGTTCCATTCTATTTCATTCCCTTCTGTTCTGTTCCATTCCGTGTATATTCTATTCTGTCTCATATTTGAAACATGCTAGTCCTGACTTGCTAATTTGATTTCAATTAAAGGTTACAACCCATCAATTAGAAAGACAGTGCCCTCGTGGGACTGTCCCCACTATGTGGTCCGGGAGTAGGCCTGTGGCAGTCAGCATGTTCCGTTTCTGTCTGCCCTGGGCCCTTCTCCCATCCAGCCAGCTAGATGTTCTAAGTTCATTTCCTCAGGGAAGGAATGGTCCACTGAACTGCTAAGAGAAAAGAGTCAATTCTTGGCTTTTGACATACAATCTAATTCAATTTAATGTAGATTTTGGAAACAGGATTTGGCCAGGAAAATGTTCGCAGGGCCGACGGAAAATGAAATTACAAGACCACTTCTCAAAAAATTAAGAATTTCAAGATGGCAACAGCAGAGCATTAAACTAAGCACAGGCCCTTTTAACCATGACAACGTGTGTGACTGTACAAGTCCCACACACATTAAGCCAGCCCTGTTTGGAGACAACAGGATGAGTTAGATAAAAATTCCTTGCTAAGCTGAGATGGGGGAGTGAAAGGAGAGGATGTGAGATGAGAGAAGAGGGGTGAAGGGTCTGGGCGTGGAGTGGTGTGTGCGTCAGAGTTGACTCCAGTCTCCTCATCTTTCCTGGGCTCCCCTTGGGCGGCCCACCAGTGGAGCCTGAGTCAGTGCTCTGGGGTCTCGTCTCCGCTTGGGGGAACACTGCGCTTTGCCGCATGGCTGAGCTGTGAGTTGCTCTTCCTGTCAGTATCAGGTGGGGACTTTCCTTCCGCAGTAGCCAGCGTGCTGTTGTCGGCCTTGGCTGTGTAGGAGGAGAGAGGCCCACGTGAGCTGGAGGCATGGTTTCGTTCTCCTCTCATTTACTGCTTGTTGGCAACAGCCCCTTCAATGTCCCCAGGTGCTGGTGAGCCCTGAGATGCAGGAGACGGTCACCTAGAGGAAGGGTGTCTGTGTCTCGAAGTGTGGGGCTTGTACTGGTTTGCTAGGGCGGCTGTGACAAGGTACTCACAAATAGAAATGGCAAGCAATAGGATATATTGGAGTATATGAGGAAGACATTTGGTGTAAACCTAATTTGACCTGACTTTGTTTTTCCAAAAGGGCCTGACATGGCCACTGAGCATGCATTGTGTATCTGCTTTAAACATTTCCTATGGCAAGAACAAACGGTCTTAAGATAAAGGTGCAACTTCCCCCCACATTGGCATTTCCTTAAGGATAAGGATCTTTCCTTAGGCGAGGAACTAACTGCTGCACTCACCTTTGAGCATCCAGCTCACCTGTGACCACCCAACTCGAGACAGCAGACTGCCACCCTGCTGTGTCCACTAAGACAGAAGACCTATCTGCTGTGTCCATCAATCGCTGTGCCGACAGAGCAGTC